TTCCTAACAGCTCCATGCAGCGTTCCAACAGCGTCACCTATTGGCAAACGGAACGCCCAAAGAAAAACCACTCGCCTTGAACTCCTTCGAGGCCACTGTCAATGAACAGCGTTGGTCCTTGATCAAGTCCTGGCGTCTTGGATCGAATCGAGCGCAGGTAGCAACAAGACGGAAAGGTGTCAATAAGGGGGCTTGATGTTTCTTTCCAACAAGGGGCTTTGAGGCCAAATAGATAACCTATACTGAGACAGTACCCAAAACATATGCAAAACAAGTACATGGCCGTTGATTTGAGAGGAAACTGCAGGAAACAAAGCAAACAGGTAGTCCATGGTAGTCCTGAAACTAGAAAAATGGGAGTCCTGTTCGGAGATCACAAACAGAATCTACGTCAGTATAAAACTCCCACGCCCGAACCACTGGAAACCCATGGAAAAACTTACATGAAGCTGGAGGGCATTTCAGGAGAAAAAAGCATTGACTTGCAGGGCAAGCCACCCCTATCAAGCCAACACATGTTGTCCCCTGGAGGGTTTTCAGGAACGCACAATTTCGATATATTTCGACAGTCACCATACTCGCGAACGCAACTCTGATCCTGAAGTTCCTTTCCTTTTCTGCTTCCTCCTCTCAAACCCAAGTCCGATGGACAAGCTCTTTCCAATTTAATAATCTGAGTCCTTCATATCGACTCCCCAACTCACCAGAATAGAACTATATACATCAAGTCACACAAGTCTCGAGATCACTGTCATCCCCTTTGCTAGCCCCAGTACTTACGTGTACTGCTGGTGGTCTTCGAGCTGCGAGCTGAGTCCTGTGTGTGGCTGGACATCGAGCTGAAGGAGAAGAGTGGTCGCCCCACGTCGTCCACTGCGAAGCCCACCACCGAGCCACCAGGGTAGCCCGGCATCGAGGCACCTCCAGCCGGTGACGTGTTCTGCAATGGGGGTTTGGGTAGACTTTTGAACCAAGTTTTCCTCTGCTGCACCCTGGGAGTTTTGGTTGTTCATTCCATTGAACAAAGTGATTTGTGTGTTTTTCTGGGCACACTCAGCTATTTCACGCAAATGTGCATGTTTTGAATGTTTGTATATGGTGTCAGTGCTGATCTTGCTACGAGACTAGATCCGACAGCAGCCTAGGACATCTAGGACTAACACCGACACCTGCAGCAACCTCAAACATCATCACTACCACATTTGTACAGCTCGGATTGGACACAGTCCAAGAACAACTGATAAAATCCCTCCTCTCTTTGAGTCCGTGGCACACATGTTTCTCGAATAACGCGATTGGTGTGGTCATCCTGTCTTGCTCAGAACAAAAACCACACCAGGCGACAAAAGAAGCCCTGCAAACGAGTTGCTGTTCGTGCTCATGACTGCGAAGCCGTGGTTGTACTGCACCTGAGTCTCAATAGTCTTTCAAACAGAATAATCACTTTGAAGATCATTGAAGACTGTCCAACCTACTCACATCTTGCTTCGACACCAAACCACTCGGAGAACTTGTTGAAGGAATCAGAATAGCCCTCCCCCTGCACTAGGGACCAGTAGCTCTCATCAGCTTTTTGAATTTACCACGAGAAGACTAATAAGGAGAAAAACCCACCCTGATGCCAGATTCAGGTCGACAATCTTTGGGGACGTTATCAAGGTGCCAAACTAACTGTTTTTGGAGAATCGCCAAGCTGCCAATGGAACAAAAAGCTACTAGGTCGAGGCCATCGCTATTGGGCTGGAGGCCATTACTACTAGTAACAAGAAGCTACTAGGGGCTCCTGGCCTTACTACTAGGAGCAAGGACGCTGGTAGGGGCTCCTAGCATCGCTACTAGGAGCATTCTTACTACTAGTAACAAGAAGCTACTAGGGGCTCCTGGCCGGAGCAAGGACGCTGCTAGGGGCTCCTGGCATCGCTACTAGGAGCATTCTTACTACTAGTAACAAGAAGCTGCTAGGGGCTCCTGGCCTTACTACTAGGAGCAAGGACGCTGCTAGGGGCTCCTGGCATCGCTACTAGGAGCATTCTCACTACTAGTAGCAAGAAGCTGCTAGGGGCTCCTGGCCTTACTACTAGGAGCAAGGACACTGCTAGGGGCTCCTGGCATCGCTACAAGGAGAATTCTTACTACAGTAACAAGTGGAATGAAGCTTGATTCGGTTGATATCGCCAAGCTGCCAAGCTTCGAACCTCTGTCGCCGCGTCCAGCTTCGGGGCGGCCTCTTGGTGTGCGCGGACACGATCCTGCAAGGCCATCTCCTCGACGTTCAGAAATCGCATTTGATGGATGAGTTGGTCCAAATCAACAACGGGTAGCTCGCAGGTGGAGGGGTGCTAAGACTCAAAAATGTTATAGTTAGTTATGTAGAATATATAACTATATATATAGTAGTTAGTTTCATGCTAATTGTTAAAAACATGTAAAACATGTAAAACACATGTGGCTTCTGCTTCTGCATGTATCTGTCGGGCCGAGTTCGTCAACAAATAAAGAAGCAAGGGCATACTGAAGATCGTTGTTCGGGCCTTGTGGCACCATGTGGTTGTGGTGGACTCATCTTACTGGCCTCTGTTCTTTTTATAAGACTTGAAGACTACGCTGATGCTGTCAGCAAGGCGCGTCAGTGCGCAAGGATCGCAAGGCATGGGAGTGGTGACCTACTGTTGGGTTCCGACACAGGGAATATCTAATTTTATCACTGGTATGGAGAGAAGTTAAGCACACCACAGTGTGTATATATATATGTGTATAACATAGGGTCCGTTCAGGCTTGCTTTGCGGTTCTTGAATTCTTGGGAAATGGAGGGGATTCCAGTCTTCCCACCACTACATACGACTTGGAAAAAAGACACAAAGACTCTGGGCCACAAGAGGAAAACACCCACCATCTAGGGCAATGGATCCATCTGTGGCTCCTCTGGATCCATCTTGAAGTTTCCAGCATTTTTCACTTGGTGACCTCAGCTGGTTTCGGAGACTCCAGAGGTGGCAAAACAGGCCATGGTCGACATCGTGTCAGGGTTAAACATCGAGAGGAGACCGTGGAAAGGAAACGAAGCTCCAAAAACGAGCTCTTCATCGTCTCAGCCAAACCAACATCTTACACTCTCTCCTTGAGGTGAAGATTGCGACAGTTGTTTGAAAGACTCTGGAGTTTAAAGCAGCCACTTTTTCTTGCCCAAGTCACCACACCGGTGGGAGTATTAGCTTCTTTAGATCTCTTTAGCCAATGCGCAGTCAGTGGGTGAAGATGCCTACAAGTCCCCAAGAAGAATCATGAACCCTGTGTGCATGGCAGCCCCGCTCCCGCCTGTCTGCTTTTCTTCAGCCCGCAGCCATCGGCCACGTGACAGACCTCCAGGTTCGCACCTGGTCGAATCTCAGTGGATCCTGCACTACCAAGGTAGCAACAGCAGGGCACCTTTGGTCACCTTGTTTTGTACTTGACGCCCATTAACAGGAGGGTCGAACTATTCCTCCTTACTTGGTGAGCCGGTCCATCAGTTGTTTCTTGTTTCCAATGACACACTGAAATGACCGCTGAAATGAACCCTCAGAATCACCCTACACCTGTTCTCAGCCAAAATCAGCCAGGCCTGGTCCCAACAAACGCATACAGCGCTGGAGCGAAAGCTAGGCAAAGTAGGAGACCAGCTCGCCGAGCCTCAGAATTGACCGTTGGCTCCGATTCCAGTGGACTGCAATTGTTTCAGGGCGCTCCTGTTCCAGGTCCCAAACCAACTGGGTCAATGGCATACAATGGCTACATCCGCCAATCTGCAACATCCATCTCGAATATCTCTACATACAAGTATGAATATATTAGGCTTTCTGGGAAGTGACAAAGAAGCTGGACGCTTGATTTTCAACCGCCTGACAGCCCGTGCTAAGCTAGACACATTTTGGCGTTTCAACTCCATGTTGGTAGGCTTTCAAGCGCACCGAGGAGGATGTGCTGATGCTGTGACAATGCCGGTTGTTGCAATTTTCGAGGAGTCCAATTCGATCGTAAGAGTGCTCTCTGTGTGTGTGTGTGCGCGTGTGCGTGTGCGTGTGCGTGTGCGTTGGTGGGGTGGATATCTTTATGAGTGATGTTGTTATGTTTGCTTTTTGGCATGAGCTGATCGTTCGGAAGCTAGCCCATTCAGCAAGGATATCACGCTCGTTGTCTGTTTCGTTCACGGGACCCGGAACGAGAGAGACATGGATCACCTGAAGTCCACTTTGGTTTTGATGCCTAGACAGTGCCATGACAAATAGCTTTGATCTTCTAATTCAATTAGTGGACTGGTGCAAGCGCATGCAACATCCACGAAGCAGTTCCTTTTCGTCTGCATTGCGCAAACGAAATTTGTGACCCAACGATGCAGTCACATCAGGGTACCGAATTCTTCTTCAACAACAACGACAGCAGCAACACATGAGCCGGTCAAGCCTCTTGCGAACTGAAATATACTGGACAACTTTATCGTCTTTGGATTGATAGACTGCACATGTTGTCCGAGGCATTGGCATGAATAATGCTCTGTACATCATTGGTGTACGGTGCACACAAGCTACTGAGGCGCCAAGGAGCTGCCCCAAAACACTGAGGGTAGACCGGCAAATGTAGACAAAAAAGCGAAATCTTTTCACGTGTTGAAACAGCACATGGATGCGGCTCAAAAGAAAAACAAACTCAGTGACCCCCAACCCGCAACTGTTGCCCTGTCCTGGCCATACACAGTATACAATGCACACAAGATTCATCCGTTCATCTGAGTGCCCTCTTCTTGACCACATGACGTGTTGGGTGACTGCAGCATATTCACCTAGATCATCCGTTCGATCCAATGATTCCAATGACCTCGGACACCCTTTGGGGTGAAACATCGCTCGCTTTCCTCGCTTTGCGAGGCGATTGGTCCATGCAGTCTACTCCACTGTAAGTGTCAGAGTACAAAGTAGTTCCAAGTCACTCTTTTGCACATGGAATCCATGAACCATAGATCTCCTCAAAAGTCATGAGAACGTCGAGACGGTCTCATGGTGAAGTTCATCTGCGTCATGTTGCTCGCTTTCAGCGAGGGCAAGGACACGCACTTCACCAGCTGTTCCGTCTTGGACGGATCCTCCCGTTTCATCCGCACCGTCGCCTTGGTGTTGGTGGCCAATGGCATCGTCACCAGGTTCCATGAAGGGCTCATCGGCGAGGTGACGTCACCATCTGGGCCGCTGAGGCGGATGGTAAAACACAATGCAAGAAGCTACTAGTAGCTATTTGCCGCTAGTAGTAATGGCCTCCAACCTACTAGCTATGTGGCTTTTGGGGGTGTTCGCGTTGGCTTGTTTCTGCTGGGTCCGCTGGGTCAGTTTTCTCATGTTTTCTCAAGTCTTTGTAGGTCAAGCAGCTGCCGCTCGCTGCGGTGTTGCGGGCGTCCCGGAGCACCAATGATTGCTGATGATCGGGAAGCTCCTGGCATGCTGTCAATCAGTGATCTTGGCTTGGCTGATGTTTCAGCAGATGGGTGCCATGGTGGGCTCACAGGGAAAAATGGTGGGGTTGCCCGGTCTTTCAGCTGTTCAAGGACCAGTATCCAATCTCTAGCTAGTGAGATTCAAGGAAAATCAGAAAGGCTTCTACAAACTGGGCACAAAGAGAAGGAACAAAAGAAGGTAAGGGTCCCTTCAATACGCTTTCACTAAAGCAGTGCTTACCATCTTTTTTGTATAATTACACTCTGTTTCGCCTTCTTTGTTTAGCATGGGTATGCCAGAGTTACACCATGTTGTACCCCACAACTGGACAGCATTCGCAGTCGGGCCATTGCTCAGCAAGTTCATTTGGCCTCAACTGCCCAATCAATTATTGGAAAGAACATCGCAAATGACAGGTGTCCATAATGACATTCCATTCTTAGATTGATTTTCAGGACAAAGGACACGTTTCGGAAAGCCATCAACCAATCATGCTCGCACCTGCTCCACTTCGTTCAGGTCCACGGCAACGAGCACCTCATGAATGGCAAGTCTGGAGTGTCGGGTGCACTCCATGTCCGCATGTTCTAGCATTTCTCGGTGCTCCTCACGCGTCAATCCCTGATCAAACAGTATGGATGGAACCACGATGAACCACGGTTCCAAGCCAAACCAACGCCCCCAAACCCACAGGTTCACAGATTCCTTGAGCCTCCTTGAGCCGCATGTGTTCAAATAATTGGAGTCTTACGATGTACGAACCCTGTAGGACAGCGAATCTGGAATCCTCATGTTCTCCTTGTCGCTCTCGGCGTTTCCATTCTTCGGATCTTCGGAGCTCCCGTTCACCACCGTCCGCCCACCGTTCGCCCTGTTCGCGTCCATCCCCAGCATCGCCCCCCTCACCGAGAGACTCCATCTTGTGGATCTTGAAGCTGCTCCAAGGAACAGAACCTTCGTGGGGCGTGACGGAGGTGGCAGCGAGAGGGCCCTGCTACCCCTCACGCCGGTGCTATTTAGATACGCAGTTGTGGGCCCTGCAGTTGGAGAGTTGGAATTCTCATCCTCCCTCACATATGTCAGAATTTTTCAATCTCACCTCAAATGAACCAGGTCTCCCAATAAAGATTGAGGGGTGTGAAATGACAGAACTAGCACAGCCTGAGAACCGTCTTGAAATCACAAGTCGCTTTTCCACTCGGCCCAAATGGAAAAGAATGGACACGCCATCACACACCACATTGATCTGGGCCACCCTGCTTGGCGCGTCCACCCACATCCCCTCGGTTGCGGAAGCGATGCTCAAACTGCCGCCCCTGGCTGCCGACCCAAAGCACACCTGCCGAGCAATTGGCGGGGACTGAATGGAAGAGGCACCCATTGACTACGATGCTTCCAAGAATACAGTACTGTAATAATGCACAGAAAACTGGCTGTGTGGATGACTCAAGAAACCGCTAGGGGCAAGCAGGCCTCGAATGGACACTCCACGATCAGGCCCGCTCACGTACAAAGAGCACGGCGATGTAGAGCCTGACTCATGGAACATGCTTGGACACAGAGCTGCGACTTCTCGTCGAGTCAAGGCAAGGCAGTCCCTATTCTATCCAAGTCGTGGTTTCAAACACTTGGCAAGGAATTGACGACTCTTCCAGTCTAGCACCAGCTATTGGAGTTCTCTATTTTCCAAAGCTGCATATTCATTCCAATGCGAGCTGGGGATGTTATGGAGGGTACAGTACCACACAACACCTTGGGACAATCCTAAAGAGCCACTTCCCGTGAGCGTGCCTGTTGCTGGCTCCTTGGGTGCGATGCGGTGAGGCACAGAGACAACATTGGATCTATCCAGATTGAAGTACAACGGCCTCTTTGCATGAATGCAAACAAAACAAACCAAGGCTTGTTTTCGTTACTGAGGTCGACAATGACAAAAAATAACTTGTCCAGCGCAGCTGTCTTCTGGTGACACGAAGAACGCAAAGTGGATCTTCAAAGGTGCGACAAGAAAGGCGGCTGGGCAACAGGGGAGTCAGAATACCCGAAACCTCATCCAGCTGAGAGCCAAGCATAGCCCTTCGGATAGAAGTGGAATTGAAGCCTCTCCTGCAAGGGCAACCCTGTGTTGATCCCAACAGTTTGATTCACAGGCCCGCATCTACTCTCCCAGTCACCACAGGAAAATCAATCTTGATCAAATGTATTTCGCTTGGTAGCGTGCCTTTGGACTAGTTACTAGACTAGGGCATGCATGAGAGGGTATTTCAATGGCCTTCGGAATGCTTGGTACATATACCTAGCTGGATGTTGCCTTGGGTGGAACATGATTGACGAAACCAGGAGGCTTTCGCTGACTTCAATGATCTCAGCGGTGGAATATATTTAATAATCATTGTGAATCATTGTGAAACATTTCAACCCTCACAGGTTGCTCCTTGGCCTACCTATCTGCTTATACTACCGTTTTCAATTCAAACTATCTTTTCTGGTGAGGCACCACGATTCAGAGCACCACGATTCAGAAGCTGCCAGGACCACAGCCCTCTTGGTCGGTTACTGCTTGGATGACCCGTCTTTTTCCCACCTCTCACAGGAAAAAACAATTATCGAATTTACACACCTCCGCACGCCGCAGTTTGCGGACAACTGAATCCAAGGTGACCAAAAACAATGCCCATTCATGCCCATTCATCAGCGCACGCACGCGTGCTGGGGGACATCAGGGGACGGCGGTCCAAGCCGGCAGCGCTGAAGATTGGGGAGTCCACCGAGTCGCCCGCTTTGCAGCACTCCAAGAGCCTGGAAAATCGAGAGAATCGAGTGCCAGTCCAAAGAAAGTCAAAACTAGTGTCCGTGCTACTAGTGATGGCCTCCAGCCTAATAGCGATGGCCTCCACCCTAGTAGCGATTCTGTAGCTTGGATACTTCTTCTGCCTCAGAAGCTTGTGGTGTGCTGCTGATGCTTTTTCGATTGTGTTATCTCTTAGTTCTATATGACATTAATTGACATGATGTGACTCTTTACTCGGTCTCTTCGCTGACTAAAGGAATTCCTTCTCCAAAGTATGAGGGCTCAGCTAGAGCTTCCTGGTACTCTCCAGTGTGGCATGACCATTTGTAGACCTCTCCTCTACTCTCTGCTGCACAAAGGATCAAGAAGGTCCAGGTCCAGAGTCTAAAGGCGTGAGAGGGGAGCCCCTGAAGTGGAGGGAGACTCATCTGACCACATCGCGCCTAGTGCAACCCTCAAGCTTCCATTCCACACGGCGCACCCACTTGTTCCTGCAGAAAGCAGCACGTCTGGATCTCAAAGGTTGGAAAGGCGAGACTTTTGAGACCACCTGTTCGACAAAGATTGGCCTGTGGAAGCACAGATCAACTCAGATTCTGCTCCAGCTTATCTCATGACAACCGAGGAGCCTGTCAACGTCAAAGCAACCTTGACACCTGAAACTTTTTGAACATCCTACAACCCAAGCTCCTCCACTCGCACCCCTTGGTGCTGCTTATACCACAAACGCACCACGCCCAAAGGTCTCTGAGGGTTGTTGAGGAGTCCATGGGGTCCGTGTCCTGAGGCTGACAAGATCCTTCTGAAGTCGCTCGTGCAGCACCAATTCCTGGGCAGTGTCCAAGCGGAGCCGGGCCAGGTCCATCCGGGTTCTCTGTCACAGAGTCCCAAACGAGTGGAACAGGAATCGCAAAGATCTGGGAATCTTTTTCCACTTCTTCTCTGGTGCCCACAGCTGCAATGTTCCAGTCTTTTAGTTGTGTATGTAACACCTTACCTTCGGGTGTCATACCAAAAGCATTATGCAATTCATTTGCGGTTTGCTACTAACTATAGTAGTAGATGCCCAAATGCACTGCTGAAACCCAGAGTTGCCGGGCCGCTCTGATTCCAACCAGTGTTTAGCAGTCCAGCAGGATACCCTATATATGCAATCCAACCTTCTCTGCACACGCTGCCTGGGCATCCCGGCTGCTGTGGCCGAGCGTGTGAAGAACATTTCGTCACTTCTTTTGCTGCGCTCGCTGCGCTCCTCTTCGTGGCCTGCAAGGCTTGGCTGTGGGGGTGGTCATTGCCTGCTCTTGTCTTGTATCTCTTCAAGCAAGTCCTGAAGAACTTAATGCACCCTGGAATGTCTCTATTATTGAACATTCATGACAATTCCTATGTCGAGTAAGTCGTTCATTCTTTTCCTATATTTTCCGGTCATGTCTCATTAAAGAGATTAACTAATTCAGAGGGCAAGCGAGCGACTTGTTGGGGATATCTAAATATCCAGCAAGTGTGTCCTGTATCCCACAATACTGTAACTATTCAGTCCACTTCACTGTTGACACCAGGGCCTTCTGTGCCTGCTTCATCTTCTGGCACCAGCTCAGGGCTCTCAGGGGATTCTTCCTGCCCAGCAGTCACATCTTGGGCATTCAAATGCTGCGGCTTCCCATGGTTGGACTTCAAATGGAATCAGGTTCAAGCCCAACTGCTGGATTCCGCGCTAACTCCTCCGAAGTCAATGCCATCCCTGGCTTTATGGATGGAGTATCACACGGTTGTGCATCTAATATTCTCTTCCCATGGCGCTTTATTATTTGGCCCGAAACCTGAACAAAACCATTGATCAATATACATATCAGAACTGAATGGCACCTGCTCATTGTCTTTAGATGTATTGCAACTCAAAGGAATTCCCAGGGCTGGAAATCGTCCTCCACCTCCTGGAGTTCGAGCACCGGCTGAGTCTTGAACTCCTTGGAGAGCAGGTTGAAAGCAATTCTTTAAGGGCTAGAGAAAGTGGAGCAAACTTGAACGCAGTCCATCTTTTGCTGCACTGATTCTTCCAAGATGAGCAAATGCCAATAGCAACATCGAAACAAAGAACCCCGCAACGATGCTGCAACGACCCAAGACTGACCAAGAGTCCCTCAGGATGGATATTCAGATTCTAGGGATGAGTAGAATCGATTACAGTAGATAATAGTATATAGATAGATGTAGATAGTACTTACATCCCAGGACCCTTCTAGCTCCAAGTCTCGAGTAGATCAAAGGTCACTGCAATGTTGTCTTCCTTCCGTATCCAGGCCTGGCGCAAAACCTATCTATAGTATCTGCTGTCGAAAAGCCGTGATCTGGTGGTCATCTATACTATATACAGTATATATATATATATATCCCGGTATATCTAGACTCTGTCTGACTTCAAAACATTGCAAGGATTTGAATGTTTAAGGGTTCCAAAACACGTAAAAAAAACCAGTGTTGGGTCGGTAGACTTTCCGTCCACGCTGTAACCTGACATGTAAAAACAGGTTCTTGCATGCAGTCTTCTTAGGGAACACAGCTCCAATCACAAAACTGACCGCTGCTCCCGCCTGCTCGAGCAGGCAAAAGTTCAAGACTTCGAAAAAGGTTCGTGGCTCGCCTGGTTTGGCCCGAGCACAAGCAATCAGAGTCGTGGAGTCGATCTACAGGATGAATCTGAAAGGGTGACAGGGAAGAAGATAGCCGAACCAAACTCTCCTACAAACTCTGCATGCTGCGATGACTTCTCAGGCTCTGTGAAGGCTTCCTGACGCGGCACTTGAACATCATTGAGCTAAAAATGTGTTCTTTCTCCTACTGTACTCTTTTGACGTTTACAGTTACTCTTGCGCCTTTACTTCGCAAAAACCAGGTCTTTCATTTTCCTTTAAACATGATATCACATGACTTCACCCGATTTACTAGCCACCAACATTCTTATACTGTATAGAAGCTGGGCTTCATTTGCTTTCCATGTCCATTCCATCCAAAATTATGTCTGCAAAAACTCGCATCCGGCCACCGCTTTGCCCGCCTTCTACCTCGCTGGGCTCCAAGAAACTATAGTCAAAGCGCCGGCTCA